TTCCTCTCCAATGAATGTAAATAGAAACATTAATTCTGTTCTTGTTAATTATCCCAGTGCTGGGGTGAGCTCTAAAGGGTGGGGGAGTGGGGAAAAAGGGAAGCTGAAGTAAAATAGCTAGGAGGCAAACAAAAGCCAAAGGTATGAAACTGATTACAGTAGTCTTGCCAGTTATAGGCAGCAGCTGCAAGCCAGCTATCGCAGCACCCGGTGAGTATTCCAAAGAGCAGAAGAGTGGGAGTAAGGAAAGCACAGTCGCAGTCACATGATTTCCCACTTAGCGACCACTTAAGCAAACGACAGAACTGCTGGTCCCAACTGTGGTCACTAAACAAGGACTACCTGTGGTAGATTTTTGCAGAACATAAAAAGCAAGTCACCATGCTAATTCACATGTGGATCACTACTTCTCAATAGTTGTATCATAGATATACTATTATGCAGTTAGCTTTAATGTTTTAAACATATTTATTTACTGAACTATCATATACTGCAATACGTTTATGAAATATCTACATATGCTAAATCATGCTTATGAAATATCGACAAATACCACATTTCACACTAAGGCAGAAATCCATACATTTTCAGGATGAGGTCCACAGTTGGCCTTTTGATTCCAAAAATCACAAAAGTGGAATGTTATCTTAAATTACATTTAATTTGGCATGAAGCACTGAGGCCCCAGGTTGTCCAACTTTACATACCATAAATTATGGTTTACAACCTGCAATGGCTGGTTTCATAAATATGTGAAGCAAAATCCAACTTTATAGCTTAGAGTGATGTATGGATGCAATTCATTGAAATACTTAAAAGTCAGAGGAGCTAATCCCATTACTGGACTGAATTCAAAGTCTTCATACTGTTTACCTTGGAATATGTGGCCTCTTTAAATCAAAATTTCCCTTTAAACCACACTTTCTTGCATTGAAGGTAATCCCAGTTTACCAGTATGATCTCACATACTGGTAGGTAAATTAAGATTAAACTAATTTCCCAGTTGGAATCTGATTTACAACCTCCTCATAAACTCATCACTTGAAAGGAATATAGCAAAGTGAAGAAGCAGGAGAGGCTTCTTTTAGCTTAACTGAGGAACATTACACATGAAATAGACTCTTGTGTAACATCCTGAAAAAATCAAATGTTCCCAATCCGGTCAGATTTGCAGTATTCCCAAGAAAGAGAAAATTCTTGCAAGTGTCTTTCACAATTAGACAGCTTCACTTCAGATTCTTTTGGCAGTCTAGCATAGCTATTCTTGTGATCTCTCTCTTTCCTGAACATTCTTGATTGCCCAAATTGAAGACCTTGGTGCTGTTGGCAAATAGGTTTACTGAAGGCTGGATACAGGTATCTCTTACTACACAAAACTGACAGAGAAATGTACCTCTACAGGACAATATTTTGCTGAATGGTATGTACATTTTTTAATTTTACAGAAACCATCATATGGAAAACCAAGTCTGAGCTACACCAACACTATCCAAATTATGCACAATTTAAGTAGCAATGGGCAATGGTTTTAGGGCTGAGGCCACATTCAGACTTCAGTAATATGCTAAGAACTATACCCTAAAGGTAATGAATGCTAACCAAAAAATTTAGGATGTGCTAAAAGAGGAAAATGGGTACAGAGAAAGAGAAAGAGAAAGAGCATGTGGTCAACCAAATGCTTCCAAGAGAAAGAATACCATGAAAGCTTTATCAGACAGGATAACATGCTCTCATATAATCTTCCATTTCTAGAGGAAAAGTTATTTATCTTTCACACTTCTATCCCATCACAATCAAAAGTTTGTTAGCAGCTTACACAGACTACAAAACCAAATAAAACATCTACGGTACAAGCTTCCATAAAAAAGAAAAAAAACACCAATCATAGGAATACAAATAATAAAACAAGTGAAGGATGGCATGATAAAATCAGGGAAAGGCCCTTGGAAATAACTCCATCTTTAAAAGCTTCTGAAGCATCAACAAGAAGTGGGCTAGCCTGATCTCTACTGGGAGGCTGCTCCATGGGGTTGGCATTGCTACTGAAAAGTAGTGCCTCCTCATCTCAGACCTCCAAGTCTCCTGAAAATGTGATGAGGGCCTGGAGCCTGTGAATGGAATTTTCCATTAAGAGCTAACGCAAGTAGGGACTTCCTAAGAAAAAGGTAAGTTAGAGTCATGTAATGACTAAAGGGGGGAAAGAAACCACAGGTTGACCTAAGACAGAGCTTTAGCATGATTAACATTTAATGCATTTTAAATTTTAAAGTATTTCAGAAGCATTCATACATCAGCCTTGTAAAGTATAGCCAGTATTAAATACTACAAATGGGATATGAGGCTGAAAAAAAGTTTTTTACAAAGTAGCTTTAAATGTCACAGCCCTTATTTTTACAATATAGTACAGTAGCTGCAATTTTGTCTACTTATAATTACCAGCTTTTCAATTAAAAAGGCTTATTTATGTTATCTATAATAATACAAGCTTACAGTATTTTCCAAGAGAGAGTAGAATGTTTATTATATAATTTGAGAATAGTTAAAGAGGAAAAATTATTTTCCAATGAATCACTGGCTCTGCAACAATTTTTAAGGTTAGCTAAAAAAAACAGCCAAAACAAATCCTTATTTCCTGTAATCAGACATCTATTTGCACATCAGTAATTAAACATGGAAAATAGACTGATAAAGAACAATTTTTTTAAAAGATTTCATTACTCAAACTCCTCTACATATTTGCAAGCTTATAAACATGTAACCCTCCTAAGGATAATCTAAACTAAAAGGATTTGACTTGATATAGGTTCTAAAAATTGACCATCAATTTCCCTTCTTTTCCCCCCAAGAAAGGAATTTCAACAGCCCTTTCAGAGAGTTCTGATTCCTATTGCTGTATATGCTGAACTACTTGTTCTGGGCATTAAAATAATCCTGAAATATACAGGAACCACGCTGTCACAATGTATATATTGAGATTCAAAATTAAAATGTGGACATTAAAGTATGGCTTTAAGGCAGATCAAAGAAATGGAGCCAGAAGAGTAGCTGCCTAATCCTCATGTCCAAAGGGAATTCAGCCCACAATAAGAAGCCAGACACTGCATTACAGGGTACAATCTAACATCCCAAGGGCACTGAGGGAAGTAAGAGAAATAAACAGATAAAACAAGAAAGAAAAGGAGAGAGAAGTAGGTGCAGATTTGGTTAGATCCTTATGGGAAACTCCTTAAGCAGAAAATGTAAGCAACCATTTTTAAAAATGCATCTACTATACGCACTATATTATATGCTGATCTTCATTTTATAAATCTCTTCATTTTTTAAAATATTTAGATATGTTCCATTTTCTTGTTAAATATTTAAAGGCTTTCTTTGAGACTGCAAATATTACTCATACACTAATGACCTAGTTTTTCTTAGCCTTCTCATTCTAAACCACATTTGCTTTTCTCTCTGCTTTAATAAATCCACAAATATGATTATTGTTAAAATACTGTTTCACAGTTAAATATTTTTATTTTAATGCTTTCATATGCAACCTACATTTGGTAATTTCAAAAATGTCACATTAATTCTATATATGAATCCTATTTCCAAGTTCATGGAAGGTAGGTAGATTACTGCAATATAGTATAGAAATGTTATTCAATCTCTGACTTCCCAAAAATTGATTGCATTAAATTTTGGCATGTAAGGTTTGCTAAACTGGTATCTGTTAGGGCCACACTATTCAAAGCTTCAAGCCTGATATCTTCTCATGATAGTTTTCATGGTCAGCAATTTGCTTGCTACAATACAGTTACTGGCTTACAACACACTAGGGCTTTGCCTAATGAATCTGTTTGAACATTACTGTTCATGATTCCTCTGTTTATTATTCCATTTAAGACTTATGACTGAAATATTTTTAATCATTATCAGATTTGTTTTAGCAATTTTTGGAAAAAATATTTTCTAAGTAAGATATTTAAATTAGAAATTAAAATATATTAATATTTATTTGGAAAACATTTATTGTTCTATGATTTATTTAATATACACTTTCTTAATTAGCTTACAAAGCCATACTTAATTCCACTTATAACTTATTTGTATAAATGTTTACTTAGACATAATAAAGGCTGAATTCAACAAGGCTTACTCTCAGATAAGCAGATACAAGATTGGAATCTCAGTTTAGTTTTTACTTCAACTTGGTATTAGATGGTTGAGTTTGACTTATAATGCAACAGCTTCCTAAATTTCATTAAATTTCTTCACCCAAACTATTTCATGTTTCCTATTGCAAAAGGAAATGAATACTTCCAGACAGTCCTCTAAAATACATACTGTACATTAGTAGCCTAAAGCAAAAGATGTAGCTTTGCTTTAGCTATTAAAAAAATGATGCTCTATAAATGAATTATTAAATAAGCTGAAATCCATATCAAGATTATCCATCATAATGCACACAGATAATAAGCTTTGCTATAATACATTTTCCCCATCCAAAATCTTCTAGCCATAAAAAGCCTTTTGAAAAATACAATTGATGGCTCTGCCTACAGACTAAAAACACACAAGAATGGAAAACAGAACTGCCACCATTTTTCTTACATCATTTCAGGAAAAAGCAAACACACAAACCCCAGAAATATCTATCTAATTAAGAAAACAAGGGTACAGAATTTAAAAAAGTATTTCTCCAATTTGCCTCTGAAAATTAATATACCTGTATATATATGAAAGTCTCTTATTGTGGGTGTTTCCTTTTTAAAAGAATGCATATTAAGTATATTAAAAAATAGGAGAACTATGTTTTTATAGCTTTATATCAACAGTGATATACATTAAAAAAAATTACCTACAAAATCTGTCTATGTTAGGTAAAGTTGTGAATGATAGACACAAGCTTTTAATTACTTTTTTAAAAAATCTGTAAAACAAACCTGAAGGGATTTTCTAATGCAGAAGAAAAATAGGCCATAATTATACAGATCTGCATATCCCAAGGACCATACCTCATTATTCTACAGATGTCCTCATTCCTGGGTGTTGTCAGGCCCCAAACTGCAACATAAATTGTGAAAAGCAGGGGAGGGAGAGTAAGGACAAGGGGAAAAAGGGGGGGGGGTCAGAGAAACACATCCCCAACAAACAAACCAGTTCCTTCCTCTTCAATCTTCCCTCCTCAATATTTGAACTGGCTATTTTTTCATTTGGAAGAGCAACATCAGCAGCAGAATAAGGCTGGCTGTTGTCATTAGAGATTGGTCCAGGATTTACAGAAGCCTAAATCAGCCTTTTGTTGTAGATGAGTAATTGGCAACAGAAGACACCTTACACTGAATTGCTTTTAAGCTTCCTATTACCTCTTTTTCTGGAAATATTCGATTCTGTTTCCAGATCTGACCTTTTTTCATCTTCTCAGATGCTCTGTTCAACACGCCCCAGTGTTACATTCCTTCTTCCGTTACCCACCCATAACCTACCCACTCCCACACAAGACCTGCTTCTCATCCTCGTTGTTGCTGCTGGTAAGCACCACTTCGCTCCTTCTCCTCTTTGGTGCCTACTCCCAACTACACGTACATACAAACACAGAGCCCTTCCTACAGATGGCGCCCGCAGCTGCCACCGCCTTGGTCAGTTAGTCCATCCTAAGCGATCAGTCTTTCTGATGGGCGGCAGGCCGCCGGCTTCACTTGGTGGCGGAGAAAGGAAAAAGGATGCTAGAAAGGCTGCGGAGGCCCATGCCGATACTTACCCCTGCTATGACTTCACCGCCCAGGTGGAAACACCGGGCTGTCAGTCACGGGGCGGGGGCGACCCCAGCACCGCCACTGACCCTGACACCTCCGTTCTCACGGCCGAGAGACAAATTCTTCCCGGCTTCCCAAGCCTGACTGAGCGGCCTTAGCCCCACCCCTCTCCTCTCCGAAAATGGCGGTCCCTCCCGGCCCACAATTCTGCGCGTGCCCACAGCCATGATGTCACTGGTTCCGAGAAGCAGGGATGCTGGGCGGGCGGAGAGCTGGAAAAGTTAGAGGCACGAGGAAGAATTCGCGAAGGCTTTGCCACAGCACGCATGCGCCAGTCTGCGGGAGGGGAGAAGAATCTGGGGTTTAATTCTGGCCGCCCGATATTCGTAAGTCTCGGTGGCGACAGACGTTGTGATGCATCTGGTAGACGGTGGCTGCGATCATTTCCTCAGGCATTTGTAGGCTACCCAATCATTGTTGTGACGATATAGGCCAGCAAAGAAGACTGATTTGAAATCACCCCGTTAGTTTAGTGACGCTGAAAGATGCTATAAATCTCTAGTGAAGAAATGGACCGATTACGTTTACATTTTTGCGTAATCCTGGTTTATTGACTAAATCACCATTGGTTGGAGTGAATCAAAATCACAGGAATCTCTTTATGGCATACCTCGTATAACATTTGGAGTGTTCTAATATCTTATTAGTGTAAAAGGATTTTTGTCAAAAATATGTAAAGCACTGAATTATTGAAGATACATATTAAATATATGTTAAAAATCTGCTTAAAGACTGAGCAAAAATCAAAAATAGAAAACTTCAAATGTAATTCTCCAAAACAGATTATAGTAAGTTTCTTGTTTCTTTTTGCTTGATGAAGGAAAGCTTGCAGAGATTATGTAATATGCTTATGATTTTAATTCAGAAAATGTGTTTCCAAAATGAATAGATGCCCCTGTGACACCAACTCGTTACATAAATGTAGATGACTCCATTTACCTGGATCTCAATCCACTTCATCCAATACAAGAAGTACTGTATGGCCTTAAGAAAGAATATGGGGGTACATGCTTATATATTTGCTCTTTTCAAAGTGGGAGAAGAGAGGGAAAAGGAATGGTGAATGGTGAAGATAGAATTATGAACAATGACTTCAAAGCAGTAGTTAGATGTGATAACATTTTTACACTGAACTGGTTAATATATATAGTCTGATGGTTGACTTAGAATTAACAAAAAACAAGGATTTTTATCCTAGTACATATGATAACTAGCTCAACAATTTAAGAAAGTGAGTACAGAATCTTTCCCTTCACCATTCCCTGCTAAGAATATTCTTTCTCACATCTAGAACTACTGTACATGCCTATTAAAGAAATGAATTATGATCCACAAACATTTAAGGAATAATTAATTTGTTAATCTTGATGGTGTCACAAAGTTCCTTGCTGTTTCTTTTGCAAACAATACTGCCATCTCTCTAGAAAACATCTCTCTGATGTCTAAGATCCCAGGACTCTTGGTTCACTGTCTTCTCCATTTTAGCTCTCAAATTCCCCAATTCTTCTGAAGTTATTTTAGCAGGCTATTTTTCCCATTAGGCTCTTGCAACACAATGAAGCATTTCATGTCAAATAAAATGCTTTTCATTCAAGAGGGAAATATACAATATATTTAAAAATAAATCTTAGACTACAAAGTTGTACATGTATCTGTGTGTTTACAAATAACAGAAACATTCATTTTGGTGGATATCTGTTCTATTCAATATTTAAGACACTAGCAGGTCAATACAATTCATATGCTCGAGAATAGAAGCACTCCTATTTTTCTTACTGTTTCTGTCCTATGCAGTTATTTTTGAATTGGCACATCCTATGATATCAAGTAGTACCTTGCTGTTTGTAATGCACACTGGTAGTATTGTAGGAATAAGCCTCTTTATATTGATTGGAAACAAAAACCTGGCTTCTGTAAAGGATTTATTTCTTTTATTTATTTCATAGATTTATATAGCCACCCATCTTAAATATATGGATGGCTATATAAAACTGAGATAAATAAATACAGCGTAATGACTGTACCATCATGACACAGCAAACATGAATTAAGGCATATGGTTTATGGTGCACTCAGTGTAGTTTTATACCTGACCCCACAGGGAAGGTGAAAGTGGGAAATTTCAGACTGAAGAACAATCAAATCTAATCACATTTTTCAAATATATGAAGGGCTGTTACATAGATCGGTGGTTGGCAGAAGTTGATTTATAGATTTCTGACCCCAAATTTTAGCACAAGTGATCACTCCCATTCTACCCCAAATTAAGCTGCTGAAATTAAGAAAAATGGTGCAATAAGTAGAGGCCTTTGATGTGAAAATATTGCCTTTTCATTTTTGTTCTTAACAAAATACCTAGGCTCAAAGGCATCTTGTTCTTTAGTTCAAAGCAAATATTTTACACATCTGGCTGGGTGGATCTTGAGATTCTAATAAACAACTATCTAATTACATTTTAGTCTCGCTTCTTGTATATACTTAGCCTTCATAGTTAGGTGATTGTCATTGCGTCATGTGAATCCAGAAAATTGGCTTTAATAAATACGGTTAACCATGACTGAAGTAAACATGTTTTGGTAAGGCAAAATAAGCATGGTTTGGTTTGGGACATAGGCATCCAGGAAGAACAAAGGACAAAACATCATAACACAAACCACATCACTTACATACTTGTGTTTGAAATTTGGATGCATATACAAAAGAGTAAGGTTAATATTGTGATGTCACAACACATTTTGTTTTTTCAATCATCATGGTTTATACCAGATGCCTATGATTTGGGGTTATGTTGTATGAACTGAGACCTTGTGGTTGTAAGCCATTGTTTATTAACATAATATTTTTTAAAAAAGATAAAGACTCCCTTACGTCAACCTTGACTCCTAATGATGGATGTAATTTTCTTGGCCATCATGGATTAATGCATTATCTGAACTAAGCCAGTATGTTCAGGTAGAGCCCCTGAATCAAAGCTGTCCAAGCAAGAGAGAAGAAAAATAGCAAGGGAGAAGGCAGGCAGGCAAGCAGGCAGGATTTCTGACAGCTTCCCACTAGCAAAGTCAATGGGGAATAAGCTGCTCACACTCCCACTGCTTTTTTGCCCACCAATGGTCATTCTGTTTTTCTGTTTAGGTAAGGAAATATCTCTGAAATGATGACCAAGTGGGTCACAGGTTGTCTAATATTATGCTAATTTTTTTTTTTTAAACACGGTTTGTTGAACCACCTATTGGCTGGGTTCACAGAACTTTCAATGACAGAAAATATGGTATATAAATCACCCTGGCTGGATTCTATTACTGTACATATTAAATCAAAACCAAACCAACCACACTAAGATTGTGTGAACTTGAGAATCTAAAAGCATAAATAATATATTTAAAACCAAAATAATGCAAGATTGAGCCCCTTTGTGGCCAGAGGAAAAAATATTATTTCTAGCAAATCCTGTAGCCATCCATTCCAAATATTTCTTTAGCACATAAAGATGTTGGGCTTCTTTCAGATTATTTTAGGCTATGTTGTTGCTGCTGCTGTTTACATTATGTTGTAGGGACCACTGTATTATATAGCCCCAAGCAACTATGAAGAATTAAAATGAATGATAGATGTTTCTGAATCTAAATGCAAAAGGTTGGCGCTTGACCTTACTGAATATTAAGTAAGGAGATATTGGTGTCTAATAGAGTGAGAGATCTGCGTAGTTCCCATCTTGAGGGTGTTCCAGGAATCTTTAAAAAACAGGTTATTCTCCCAGGCCTTGTGGTCAGGTGGTTCTGGAGCCAGTATCGATTGTGTTTATCTAGTATATGTAGTGTATTTTGTCCAGATGTACATGGTCCCTTCTGTTGTTTTTATTGTTGCATTTTAAAGTAAAAGATTCTCACAGTCATGCAGCCTTTACATCTAATAAAATATAAATTCATATATGAATACTAACACACAATAAAATCGTAACATTATTGGATGGTTTTAAAGAATGTAAAATACATTTAAAAAAAACAGGACAGCGTTACACTCTTTCTTTCATTCATTAGGCAGATGATGGGATCCTATAAATAAATTCTTTTTATAGGATCCCATAATCTGCCTTTTGTTTACCACAGTTTTATAGGAATCTACACAAAAAGATGCCTGTTTGTATAGATTCCTATAAAACTGTTGTAAAAAGAAAAAAATCCAGTTTTAAACCTCAATCACATATACTCAGTGCTGATGCAAAAGTAAGTAGCAATCTGGACTGCATGGCTTTGTGTAGGGCAACATATGTAGGAGTTTAACACAGCCTCTTCTAAAGTGGAGGAAAATATTGTTGAAAATTATCAATTTTTCCTGCCAATCTACCAGGTTATACTAATGTGTGATTTTACAGCTAAATATTATTTTAGGCAAAATAGATTGGATGTGACAACCATGTTTGGGTTTTGTGAAACTGATTGGAGTCACACATTAAAGTAAACCATATTTTCTTTCAACCATTGTTAAAATAAGCGTATGGTGGTATTCATATAAATACCAAATCTGAGCTTGACTCGAGGTTGCCTTTACCCTAGGTATACAGGGTGTACTAAAAGTGAATCCAGAAAATTGACAGTTTATTATATAAATTATGTTAAATGTTCAAATTGGTTGCCATTTTCTTCTAAACCCTTACTTGTTTGATGCGTGATCTTTGAACATTCCTCAGTAACATTTTCTCTGAAAAAAAAAATTAATATATCATATTGTGATTGGCCCATGGGGCCTGACATTTGGTATACCTTTTATGTATGGTACATAATTTATATTTATATTATCCGCTCTTTTTCTCACAGAAATTCACTTCATTCTCCTTTTAAATGACTTCTCCCTCTAGTACGTAAATGTCTGTTTTAAAGGTTATTTTAGAAATTCCTATGGCTTGCTTGCCTTCTGCTTTTTTTATTAAGTTATTTGTTGTCTTTCGATAACACCTGCCTGCCAAAGTGGCTGGCATTACAACCTGCCAGCAACCTGAAGGTCACAAGGGAATATTTCACTGTTGCCTTGGAAGGTAACTTGGGATTATTTCAAAAATAACTGAAACAATGGAAATATACCAAAGAAGCACAAACATGCACAC